CACAACACACATAAATAATTTCCTTATTTTTCTTCTTTATCCAGCGGGCGTCCCTCGGCCATTAATTTATTCTTTATTTAGTTCTTTTTGTTATTCTTGGCGATGTTGAGAAAGCGAGGCTAGGTACCGAGGACGAGGAAGAGCGCCTTCATCTTGTTGGCGTTGCACACCTCCCGGAACTTGTCCAAGATTTCCTGCGGTGCGTCGAGAGGCTCCACAAAGATGTGAATCTCGAACGTGCCCTTGAACAGGCTGTCCCACTTTTCGTAGCGCTTCACCACTTCTTGCGTGTCGCTCATCTTCTTTTCTTCTATGTTGGGGCGCTGCTCGATTGTTTGGTTCTCTCTGCTTGCTTGCCGGCTGACGGCGCTAACTCCGTTTCAGTGTAAAGAAGTGGTGGTTGCCCGAACCTTGCTGCACGACAACAACCGAAGAACAAGAAGAAGAGAGCGTCGCCCCCCGACACTCGGTGCCTGGTGTGCCTCCTGCTGGTGCGCCTCCTCCGCCTTTCGCCCCATTGGCCCCGATTTCTGTCCAACCACAGCAGGCAGCGAACTAACTGAAGTGCAACCTCAGTGCTGCAGGTCTTCGAGCTTTTCCTGCTTTTCCGCTTGACCAAACATGGCAAAGCGCGACTCTCAACACCTTCATCTGCACTACCAAGTGGCCATCATCGGCGCCGGGCCGGCAGGTCAGCTAAAAACCACCCCTTCCACTTCTACTTCGACTTGATGTTTCTCCCTCACCACTTTAGGTCGCCCAAATTAATTGGCGAGGTGGTTTGGCACGTGTGCAGGCCTGGCGGCGGCCAACGTCCTTCGCTCTTTCCCTGTCGACTACGTGGTTGTCGATGGCGGCAAGCCCATCGACCGGCGCGATCGCGACTGCGCGAGCGATGTCGCCACCGGCGTGGGTGGCGCCGGTCTATTCTCTGACGGTACACCTGCGGCGGCGCTGCGTGTTGGCTTGCAGTACCTCTTAACTGATCTGTGTGTCGTGCTGTGCGTGCTTGTCGTTGCCGTCGTTGTGCCAGGCAAGTACTCGTTCTTCCCTGCGTCGACGCATCTGTGGCG